CACTCCGCTTAACAACTGCACAAATGGTGGAATATGGGTGTGACAACTCCTCATGAACTAATTTATTGTGAAATCATAGTGACTGTAGTCTGATGAGCACACCACTAGTAGTGACCCTGAATTTGGTACTTAGATAGCAGAAGTCATTATCGACTACTGACACACGAAACGAGACGTGGTGGTTTTGAGAAATTGAGGAGCGACGCCAATTGTGAGATATAAGTAAGCACTTATCAGGAGGCTGTTAAATGCAACAGGTTCAGTTCCACAATAGCACGGTAGTTCAAGCAAAAACGACGAGGCAAGAATGAATACGGCTAGGCCGAAAGTAAAAGCTTTCAATAAAAGATAGACTGAAGTTGGTAGTTATGGGAAAAACTTGAAGAACTCGAAGAACTCGATTCATACACCTACGATGTAAACATGCAAACATTTGTTTAAAACCGCACAACATGAAATCCATGGCTCTCTTAGGGGACTCAGTTACACCTCACGTGGCTAAACAAATGGAATTCTTATATTTCGCGTGAAGTAGGCCTAAGGCCGACAATTATTACGACGTAAATTACTGAAGGGGGACTGGCTTGTCTGTAATCGGTCAAATGACAGAACGTCCATGCTTATTTTGCGCCCAACTTTGATGCATGAGCGAAATCACCTCGCAATACTCTAAGTAGCGAAAATATTCGAATTTTAATATTCATGAAATAGTGTGATACCTTCTTACGACAGTGCTGCTGGCTGGTTGCACAGAAGCAAATTTACAGCAAAATAGTGTGGATCAGAACGACTTTTATTAAGCCATATTGTGGGTTTACACTTTTGTGGTACCAAAATATGACTATCGTCTGCCTGCGAATGACTCATAGCATCGAGGGAATTCTAATTCACTGGTTGCTAAGACATCGGCTTTTTATTGCCCAGCATGAAAGAAATACAGATCTGGCCAGGTAGATACGTAATGTCAACCGGGAAGTGATTCTCAATCTAGCATGAAGAATAGCAGGGAAGATTTAAATAGGACGATCCAAGGATTTGTAATAGTTTTTCGACAGCTAGATCTGCGAGACTTAGACAAAGTTCAGTGAAAACAATGGATAATTCTTACGAATTTTGTTTTTACAATTGCTATTTCGTTATTATTTGGTTTAAAAACTGATAACTAGGGTTCATACGGTTATAGAATTATTCTAAAAACTAGAGGAGTGAGGAAATCAATAGATTTCTTCCACAATGTACAACCTCGAGGTTCAGGCAAAACCAGCATCAATAATGCATTTCAATTATTGCATAGAGTATGATTTCATGAAGCTTGGAGCAAGTTTTGCTTGCAAAGTTCGACACAGGACATGAAGGTAAATCATCCACACTAGTGAAATAGAACAAAAACATATCTGCCGTTATAAATGAAATAAATCCAATACAGCAAGTTAAAACTATCACTGGAGTTAGTCGTGAGAGGACCAGAATTCGTACCAGTGCCTTATGCTTTAGATCGTCAGTCACTAAGAAAATTAAAGTGGGAAGGAAATTTGCTTCATCGATTTGATGAAGGAAATTTGCAATGTAGGTGTTACTACCAAAAAGATTCATGCCAAAATGTTGGGAGATTAAAACTTTTCCGTTCGGTGAATGACACAATGAACGGTTTCCTCGGAATTCGATTTTTAAGGCTGTTACTCGCTAATAAACTCAGCTGCATCCACCAATTATTTAGTGATTACTCAAATTAATGAATAATATATAATAATAATAATACTGACTTCCAATCATTAACGATTTGGTATCACTATCATCAGCATCATTGTACATCGAAATACAGTGAATCGAAATTCTCTAACCACTTTCAAACTCACAATGCAAGCAAGCTAAGTTAAAATGACATGGATTGGGTTTGTTGTGGTGCTGAGGAAAGTGGGGGGAGTGAAAATCCACGGTCAAGAAACAGAGTATACAACCCAACTGTGCATACACCTCCTGAGAAGCATTCTGACAATGGGTTCCTTGTATGGCCTTTCAGTGTCTCCAACTATTCAGTTATAGAGGCTTCTGAACCCCGAATTGGAGGTTGAGCGACATGTAGTCTATATGGTCTATCTCTATATCTTTCTTTATTCTTCGTCTCCATATCATCTATAGATGTGCACAAGATTTCTGTAAACCTGTAGCAGCCCATTGGAGTTCATCTCGTTAGAAATGTGCGCTATACGACAACGCGTCTTGCAACATCAATTAGGACTTTTAGGGTGTAATGCCCACGCCGAATAGTGCAACGGAACTCTTCAGTCTACCAAGTGCAATTTGGACTTCTTTCATATATTGGAACAGCCAATTGATACTATCGTCCATTTGAAATTGTACATTAGTTAATTTGATTGACATACTAACTTTGTTTCTGAAGTATGGAGATATTTTTGGTATTGAGGAAAGCTCAATAACCTGGATCGACCGAAGTCTTTTGCGTTCAAATGATTTCACTAACTACCTTTCCCATCAAGCTTCGGCCAAAACCCGAAATACTTTAGCCAAAACCCACATTCCTTTAGCCAAAACACGAAATACTTATTTTCAAATGAGAAAATTGTCGTGTATATGGAAATGAAGCATAAACTGAAAACCAGGGTTGCACTTGACTGCATTCTGCTCATGAAGTCCCGGCTTCGATCCCCAGTTGGGTCGACGGATTCGCCCTGCTGATGAGACCCAACCAAATCAAAAACGCTGTCCAGTGCTTCCTAGCTTTCCAGTTCAAGCTTCATTTGATATCTATACGACGAATTCCCATTTGAAATTGAATAAAATCCTCCTTACTCACACGAAATACTTTTAGCCAAAACCCACAATTCTTTAACCTTGACCAATATTCCTCTAACCAAAACCCGTAATGCTTTAACCAAGGCCCGTAGTCGTTTAGCCTCGACGCACAGGCTTTAGTCACGCCGCAGTAGACAAGTCAGATCAAAAAGTATCCGAATATTCTGAAGTGTGTTGAAAAAATTATTTTCTAAAAATGTTGCTGTTGCAAAGCTTGGTTAAGAAATAGGAAAGTGTGGGGGTTGCATGTGCAACACATGTTGATTGGAAAAGGTTTAACCAACATGCCCGTGTCGTATTAACGCTGCAACATGTCATAACTACCACGGTCAAGGCTTACCTATGACGAATTTTTATCTATTGCTTCCTGGGAAACGGTACTCTACAGGGGGCCTTTTGTGAACAATGTTTATTATCCTCGGCCTGGTAATGTATCTCCATCTCAAGAACGGAGTTCTCTTTATATGGATGTACGAAATGGTATGCAAAGCTTGGTTAAGAAATAAGAACGTTGTCTAAACAGCCGCACAGAACACATTTCAAATAGAACATGCAGTGGTGAACAAGCTCGTTTTCAGTGATTCGTAGTCATGCCAAATACATCACAATAAATATTACGCTGTTTATACATAAATCAGTATTCAATCATAAAAACGCAAACAAATATTTCGGGAAAGGGAAAACTACCTCATGGGCTATCTGGGGCTAATTTCGTCTTGGGACCGGATGTGGAATTCTCAATGATATCATAATTGTTAGGTAATCCGATTGTTGGGACCACTCGGACTATGGATGTATGAGGGGTGGGCCAGGGGAGCTTAAGCGCCTGCACAAATTAATTTTGGGTACACAGAGGAGGGTTGTGTAGACGAATTCCTACCGCTTCCACTGTGGCCAGCATACCATATCGAACCTGCCTTGATAATCGACCACGAACCCGATACCGGGGACAGAATGCCTCGGTCACATTCACAGTGTGATTTATTTCAACTAAGTGTGAAACCAATGAACTAGTGAGTGACTTAATCGTTCCTGTGTTTAGCAATGCGGGGCGGTGTTCAAGGATTCGTTCGGGCAAACGCCTGACCTTGTGCACCTCCGGCAACGAAGGGGTACCCTTGCGACCGATTCTGGATACGTGCGATTCACCGTACCATGCACTTGCAAAATGGTTGGCTAAATTTTAGAACCCGTAAGAATTGGATTAGCGAAACACAGTGTACGAGACACATTCACTTTTGTAAACAGTATTCATGACCTAAACTTGATGCGTCGGACAATGCTTTCATTGGACGTTAGCTCGCTCTTCACCAATGTTCCAATCAGCGAAACCATCGAATACCTGTGAAGTTATGTACAGCTTTATGGGAAAAGATCAGTCAGCGATCCTGCTGTGCTGTCGCAACATATCTCCTGTTATCAGAATAGGTATTCTCGTGGCAACATTTTCTGAGACCTCATATCAGTGGTTATTGAAGTTCAAAATAAAATTATGTCGCATAGAAAAAAATACCAACAGGTAACAGTCACTTGAGCTTCGGAATGCAGAAAAGACTCTCACTATCGAAAAATATAGTGATAAAAACCTAATAGTAACACTCGTTTTGACAAAAATATTTATTTAAGCAAAAAATATTGACCGATCGGAATGCGCTTTTGGATAAACAGTCGGTTTCCGTACGTTGAAAAATGACCACTTTTATGATTTTTACGTTATAAATTACGACGGTCCAAATTCAAGTTATTTATTGATTAGCATGTTCCATATGGCATCTGTTTCTTCTTAAGAGCGCTCGAACCAGTAAATCACTGTCTGACGAGGCGCCGAAAAACTAAATATTGCTCAACATGAAATCTGAAACGAAAATTGGAAAGATAGGCATCATCAGTAGGACTAAAATTTGTGACCTGTTCATATCTCTGTGACTTCTATTGGGAGGTTTAGCCCCTTGAACACCTGTAAATGTTGATTAAATAAAAAGTTCAAATGAATGAATGATATCCTACCAAGTATCATACCTAAGGAAAAAAACTTGCCTTATCATTCAGGACATTCATACTGGAAATAAATAATTCCCAATTTAAACTGCATTAATCAAAATGAGCCTCCGAGTGTCAAATGCTTTTACAAGTTTAAATGTAGTCATCTGGTTAAAAATCGCTCCGGTTTTAAAGTTTTAATCAAATTAGTGGATAATGTACAGTCCACGACCTACCGCAACTCGTTGTACGGTGAGCGAAACTTTCTTCTTGGCGAGGCGTTTCTGGATGAACTTTGGAAATTTGGACTCCAGATCCGCTAACCAGTAGATTTGTTGAACCAACAACTGTTCACAAGCGGTCTTCCGAACTTCTTCAATATCACCCACAGCGAGTCCGATCTGAAATGCAGGCGTAGAAATGATCATTTCAGCTGGTGGCTCAGAACATAGTTACAAATCATTTCGAAATAAAAAACTTGGGCTTCTATTCGGAGCTCAAAGTACAAATCTGTGGTGAACCTCGTCCTTAATGGCCACAAAATTGAGAGTGGGTTATGAAAATTGAAGCCCCTCTATTGATGGTTCTTAGAGATAAGTGATAGTAGCAAAAGAAGGAAAAGAAATCTTAGTAAAATTCTAAATACAAATACAACCTGCTAAAGATAATTTATAATTATTCATATGTTTATTATCTGTGCGTGATGTGATTTCATTTTTAAGGAAACAATGTAAAGATCACTATTCAGAGCTTTTGCTATTAATGTTTAAAAATTGCTTATACAGAAACTGGGGTTTAGATGAATAAAAATTAATTGAATATAAAGAAATAAGCTCCCTCAAACGTTTCCTCTTTCTTTTGTATTTTTTTACCAAGGGTTGATTTCAGCCTTTCACAAAAAGGTCACTTCGATGGTGTTTTCACGGAAAGAGTTATTCAATAATGTCCCGTGGTCCAGTGCTCGACAAAATAATAATCAGTAAAAACGTCGTATTTAATTATTAGTGTTATCATCACCGCTGTAAACTAAACCAACTCGGATATCCTGTTTCCCCATAGTTATTAATTATACGATTTTTCCGGTAACCTTCATCACCCTTACCAGCCCCCCCCCGCCCCATATTTCTGTCTCCTCGTTTATTTTCCATGTGGGCTAGTTTTATCGCTATCCGGTGCTCCCAGATGATCAGATGAGATATACAAATGGACTGATGCGGTCGCTCAGTTGACAAACAAAATGTACATTATATCACAACTGAAGAGAAACTAATGGACCCCACTTAGTTTCGGTTGACTGACCGATGGTCATTCATTGGGCTTATCGGCGAAATCAGGTACATTTAGAACTAATATCACTGGCGTCGAAGTTCTTCACCTCGTCGGGCATCATCATTACCATCGGAATAATGGACAATTTGTCGACCGTTATTCTTTACATCCAAGCTCAGAACCGAGGCGCATTGCTTCGACAGTACGGAAATATTTGCAAGGAAGAGATGAGCTTATGTGGAACAACAAATTCTTTCGGGCCTCTAGCGGTTCAGTTGATTAAATTGTGCACAGACAGCTTTGCATGAACAGTGGTGGATTCAGTACTCTGTGAAGATTTACAAGATCAGCTCAGAAGTAGTCAGCTCGCTTTTCAGCTGTCTTCAACGAGGTAAATTAATATTTCATTCCACAACCCGGGTTCACCTTAACTGGCTATAATAGTATCTATTTCCATTGGTAATTTTGCTCTAAGCTGCAAGCTATAGGCTGGTACTCATAATGCAGATGGGGATATAAAAATATGAAAAGCTTTTGGGTAAAAACATAAAAGAATTATAAAATACTGAGGGTGGAACACACAGAAACAACTTCATTGGCGCTCCGAGCTAATGATAATAATATTAGCCATAAGAAAAGCTATCATTGAGCGTATTTCTGTTTGTTTTACAATAAATGCTTAGACCATAGTTACACCATGCATCTATGTCGTTCTCTGTTGGTCAAATAGTGGAGAGTAGTGTTAAAGTAATAGTTGTGAGTGTTGAATGCAGATCACTGAAGCCCTAGCAGTATTATCGCCACAAATTTATCACAAGTTCGGTAAACGGTGAGAAATGAAAGCTCAGTAGTGCATAACGAGGTAAGGCCACCACGTCTGACAAAGAAAACAACGAAATTTTTGGTTGAAATGCATCTGTTTTCCGACCCTACCAAACTCATCACCGATTTGTGAACGACGGACCTCTATCAAAGGTAGAGGTGAGTTCATTGATCGCACTATTGAACGCAATGCCTGGGGAGTAAAACTGAACTGCAATGAACAATTATTAGCATGTATCGGTTCAATTAAATCACCGAAGCAATATCATTCGTGCATTCCGGACACCAGGGGCGTATTGCGAGTTATCTGGTGATAAAAGTTCGGTTTGTAGCCCACCGCACTTATGTCTTCCTGATCCATTCTGGTCATTTTGTTTATCCGTATCTGTCCTCTCTCTCCATCTATTTTGATTCATCGTAAACTGTTTCGTATTTATTCCAGCAAGGAGGGACTAGAAACAATTTCAGGATCCATAATTTGTGTCTTCATGGGCCATCAATAGAGTATTTTTAATTTTTTGAATACTGTTTAGTTCTTCCCTGTATCATCGACATTCCAAAGATTCCAAAGATAACTAACCAATATTTTATCGATTAGTTATTGGGCTTACTGTCATATAGTGTTTCCAACTGGGTTCATCAGAAAGTTAAGTGCGAAACCGTTCTCTCTTGTAATAGTATCATCTTTGAGTAGATATGGTCTTCTGGTGATATTTGCCGACAGAAAGCATCAATTGGTGCTGTACTGACGACAGCTCGGACCACCTGCAGTGCTGAGAGTCATCAAACGTGACACATGAATAGGCACGTGTGAACAATGCAGCTAGTTTACTTAAACACATTGCAATCAATGCCAGAACAGTGTCTGCCGATATTCATACCCTTGTGTAGCTCTCCGCGCTCCGATGCTTGACGCAGCCATTAACACGTGGTGGCCGCTGTACAGGCAATAACTTTGGTGTTTAGTCTCACATGATAATGAAATACCGACTGAAACTGTCACAATAGGACAACGTGAATTGACAACGAAACCATGGTGAAGCGATTACCGACAATAATTTCTTCCCAACCCTTAGAGATAGAGTAAAAATTATGAACTAACATTACACTGGAATTTCCGTGATCAAGATGGTATTCCCTTGGGTTCCGAGAAAAGAACAGGTCCACACTACTGTACCAACTGAACCATAACTCCCATATCCTCGAATGCTCTGTGATACTTCTTTAGATAAATCTCACCCCTGGTGTTCAAGGACGTCTAGTGCAATGCTATCGGTAACCAAGCACGGATGCTATTACTTTTAGCTGTATCACTATAGTAATGTTTGCAGACGAGTTTGAGTCATTTCTTCAAGTATTTATGAATTTCTTTACAGATAACGACATCGTGAGTGTGCTAAGATCGATAGTAGTTTCAGAAAAAGACGACGAAAATACAGGGAATGACTGAGTCTAAAAATATTTCAGGCAGGTGTGCACTTCTAGTTTGATCGGTACGTGACATTATTTCCCAAGGTAGATAGCATGGAAAAGTAGGTTAATTGTATGCGAAAGATAACAATGAAAAAATGACTGTTGATTACTTTCTGACAAAACAAATTGCTTTGTATCGTACTCCGAATTCGATGAGCATTAATGATCTAAAAGAAATCATTATGAGGACAGGTAGACGCAGAAACGATTCGAGGTGTTTTTTATTGAACGCTTCTATGGAGAGGAAACCTAATCCTGGTGCGTCTGGACTAGGTGTTTTCTCTAGCCGGGGGGGGGGTACTGTACTGCCCAGGTGTCGTAGGTTAATTACAATACCCTAATTTTGCTATCGAAGTCTAATTCATCTCGCCGGATTTCATTGTCTCGAAAAGTTTTTGACTTCTTGTGGGGAGAACAAAGAATCTATCTATCTATCTGTCTATCTATCTATCTATCTATTCATCGATCTACTTATCTGTTGTTACTTGTCTGCTTTTTAATCGAAACGTTTGCACACCTGATGATAACGACCATGCGATACGGTACTATTTTCAGATCTGTATGTGGGAATATCTTCAAACCAAATGCATATAGACCATTCATGTCTTTAAAAATCCATGATGCTCATTCGAATGCGCAAGATGTCAGATGTCAACTTCTAGAAGACAGCTTTTTATTAGCAAATGGCTGACGATCGGAAAGAAATACATAAGGGTTACGCAATCAGTAGCAGGGTGGCCAAACAGAACAACGTAAAAATGTTCATGCTGACTGGTAGCATAAAAGTGCCGACGATTAGAACGATAAAACTAAAAACTTGTGTCCCACTCACCAGCAAATTCATCACAATTATTGGTACAAACACTAAAAACGCGATGTAGAATAGAAAAATGGCTATCGTATTTTGCGTATCCGGGTAGGGATCACTGAGCAGGGGGTGAATCAGCGTACTTGAATGTTCGTATTCACCAAACATCATCATCAGAGTTTTGAAGAGTGAAACATCCAAATAATTGTATTGCCCCCGTTCTGTCATTGCTTGATTCATGGATAGGCGCTGTCGATAACTGGTTGACATAGCTTCCACGGTGGATGTGGCATTTCGTAGCACAAACTAAAGTTATATCAAGAAAAAAATAAGATTGATCTGTATGAATGATGTTTGAGGTCAAACATTCTCCTTGGGGATTTTCCCCGCCAGTCAATGGTTGAACGATATGTCAACAGCAATGTTCTATGCAACGTTTACCAGAAAAAAACACAAATTTGATTAAAGAAGACGCAAAAATTAGTGTTCTTCTGGAATGCACATCGAATCATTCCATGTCTACCAGTGCATAATAAACGTAACGAGTGGTTTGTCACATCACTCCGAACGTGGTGACTGGTTTCATCCCATTCATTGTCGATCAATGTGCTTTCGTTAAAATAGGCACAAAATGATCCTGAGCAAACGGTGCAAACCTCTCATTTAAGATGTAAAATATTACGATACATTAAAATCCATTGTTGAATGCGTTGACCAGCTTCAGATTCGAGCATTTATGAAACACTTATTACCATTATTTGTGTGCAAACAGCGGCCGATGGAACACAATGCCAAAAAAAACATCCATGTAGAAGTTACTCCGCCTTTCGAAAATGCATTTCATTTCCGGCAATATTGTAGATTTTTGCACGTCAAAATGTAATTAATAGGGTAGATCCGGTTTCGTCCCCGGTTTTACAGGGTAGATCAACAAATTGTGCAGCAATTTGGGACTGCTAGTTGTATTACTGTTCCGCATTTTGATGTCATTCAGCTGATATACAATTGTGACACGTCACTTGCAAGTGTATTTTTTTCTTTACGTTGAGCTATCGTTGAAAACCAACGATAGGTTTTCAATCGATCGATTCAATTTTTTGCTTACTGTCACACCGTGAATGAAAATTATAAGGCTTTGTGAGCTTAACTTCAATTAATGACAATTGCAAAAACGACCTAGAGTGATGGTTGGTTGATTTAATCAAGTAATAATAAGTATTTTTCAATGTAGTACAGAAGTGATTATTTTAAAATTTTAAAAAGTCTTAGGAACCACACATTTTGGGGCAATAGATTTAGTTATCTATCATGCCGAAACAAGTACCAGGCTGGTGATGTATTACTTACATCAATGACGTTTGATCATGAACCTTTCATGAAACCAAAAGACAAATGTTGCAGATAACATGTATCGTTCTGTGTATCCCGATTCATTCCCATTCATGTCGTTTTTCCGGTAGGGTCTGACGCAATCCGATATTGGTCTTGGGGATTTGTGACATCAATGTTAGGAATTGATTTTTTGAATAACCACAAAATGCTGTTTTACTACAATTGCTTTATTAAAGCAGAAAGAACGTTTGTGCCAAGAAAAAAAAACGCAGATCTAAAATAAATGGTTTTACTAATTTGAATTGTGAGAAACATTGAACAACGCAAATTTAATAGGTTTGTATAATTGTGTTTTAGTTGCGTCCCGTTTAATGCTAGTCTGTTAAAAACCGGCATAATGAGTAGATAGATAAATCTGACACCTAAACTTTGAGACGGATGTTGACGTACCATAATCATGCATAAAACGAGTGGATATGCTGTCTAACAACCAGATGTTCCCCACAAATTTTAGCCAGCTCCAGTTTAATATAAAGAAAAGACAACCGTTCGATGCCACAACGTCTTCAGTGTGAACTCATGCATAATTCCCGATCATTAGACTAAAACAGATTCCAAAGTAAAAAAAAGGGTAACACATAACTAGAATTTAAATCACAAGCATTATCTTTAGATGAGAACGTTTAACAAGAGGATACAAGTTAAAGTGAGGGGTGACTGTAGAGTCGCAAGTTACTTGAAACCACCGAACGCGAGATGATGAAGCACACTCACCTTGTAGTTTGGATCGCGTAGCAACACGTGAAAAACAAATCCGAAGCACAGAATGACGATTGAGTAGACGGACAGACATTTTACCACAGTACCAAATACTTGAAGAAACATAACCACGAATATTCCAACATATTTCACGCTAAAATGGGAAGAGGCAAGTGTATCAGATTTCGGTTCGTATGATTTAGTCAAAGTAAGCTTGGTCTGTGGATGTCGGAATGTGAAATGTCACTATACGGTCCGTTCTGAAGTAAGAGAATCTTTATAACAGTAAAATCAGCATAATGGTGGAAATATCCGAATTCGTTCAATTACTTTTTTAGATAATGAGTACTTGGATTAGCCCTTTTGGTTTTCCACAGGCACCAGGCACTGTTGATCATGTCGGCTGTGGGTTTCATTCTTTGGGAGATTGTTACTTCCCCAATTTTTAAATGTTTGGTGTCTATTAAAAAACGAATGGACTAATACAAACATTCATCATCTTAATTGATTTAACCATTCACACAAGGTGATAACCATCGACAGTTTAGCTAAGACGTAAGGGTTTTTAATTTCCAACCCGAAGGTTTGCGGTTCGACTCCTGACAAGGACAAACAAAGTACGCACTGCTGACGAGTCTGAAACAGGATCAATCAGCTGTTCAGTGCTCTTTGTCAATGATCACAAATATCTTTATTGCATTTCATTAAACTACCGTTTAAAAAACTAAAGCAGCATTTATTTGAAAACAGTTTCCTTAAATATCACAGTGATTTAATTATTTATTCAATAATCTAATCCAATTCACGTAATAAACTGTCACAAACATGCACAGTAAGGTCCGTTGTTCGTTATTTACCGATAAATTCAAAACATGGACTTGTTCAGTATCGGTACTGATTAGACACTTGGGAAAACATAATACGTAATTCCGCTATCACTGGTTCTAGTCAACATTTGTTCTAATCTCGATTAATTTTTTGTGCACCTTTTCTCACTAAGAGGACTGTAGCTGGAGGAGGCATCGACGGCTTACTACCGACCAGCAAAGGCAGATACCTGGAAACCTTTCGCTCAAGATGAGGCCAACTTCAGCCAAGAATAAGCCCAATAAATGGGGGCTTTATTAATTGCGCAAAGCAATCACTCAGAATCTATTGAAGCTTCGAACATATTTTAAAATTAACCTGAAAAACCATGGTTCTTCAACAAAACATTTGTTTCTTATATATACATATATATATATAATACCAAATACGGAATATACGCTTCCTGAATGTTAACTACTAAATAACGACAGTTTTCTCCCCTGGGCGGAGAGCATACTGGTTAGGCTATAATTAAAACGTTTTGGACCATTCGATATTACCGACTGATGCAAGAAAATCTCACCCATTTAAACAGGTGCAGCAGTCATCTGGTTATATGTCACAACTCACCCAAATCACATTTGTCTATCTTTTCTATTGATTACACACAAAACATTTCAGGGAAAGTTACAGCGGGCATAGAAACTGTGGGAGTCTCCGGTCGTTTGTTGTGGCGTCTAAAATATCCCACAAACTGTTTAAAAGTATGAACCTAAGTGCCAACCACCCATGCCTTATTTTTATTACGGCCTTCATACGGATTGTCCTAAACATTGGTTGTAGTAGCGTTGGCTTTCGTTTCTATCCTAAGTCTGTGACTGCCCATTTTGGATATCGGGACCGCTTGTTTGTTGTTGACTGTCGCAGTACGCATCAATGCACTTTACTTCAATCCAATTCGAATGATGAACACAGAAAAGTGATTCCCGTGAAACGGGAAAAGCGGTGTTGTATTATCGACGTGAAGTTCGTACATAGGAAACTTACTGCGTTACTTGAAGAAGAAAGTTCAGCCACGCCAAAAACATGAGAAGCGTAGACAGCATCTTTCGACCGGGTAAACTTCTATCAATCAAAGTGTCAATTAGTAGTATTTCAGCGGCCGAGTACAACAGCAATTCCAGTGTGTTAGTCCAGTCACGGAAGTAGTCTAATCGCTGTGTTCGGCAGAAAAGCGGGAATAAAATGAATATGGGAGATCAGCGTCGATGAAAGTCATCATCCCTACGAACTAGATTTAACTAGTATCATTTCGTGGGCAGAACTATTAAATAATATTTCTAATACATTTTATGAGTCAATAGGTAGATGTCAGATTTGCTCCAAAATAAAGTGAACTAACAGTGGTGTTGCCTTATATTCATTTTTAATGAAATAACCTTGCGTGAAGAAAACGGTATCACGGTGGTGAACAAAATCCCCCTCTCGCATTGTCTTTTTTAACTTGCATTCTTGATGAAAAAGAATCATTCCGTTACGTAACAAAAGTCTGTTTCTGAACATGATGATCTTGAAGCTTCGCGGATTATTATTTATTATTATTGTTGATCAATTATAAATTCAACCAGAATATTTGCTTTCCCGATGACAGCATCTGAGAAAATTGAGCCTAGAAGATTGCATAATATATGCAACGGCAAATGTTGTACGCCCATATTCACATTAGAGCATTATTCTTGATGGTCTATCATTTTGAATAATAAAATAAGCATTTGGAATTCAATGTGGTTAGCTTTTTATTTGTTTTCTTGAATTCAAGATAGCTGTCGAAAAAACCGGGTTATTCTTGCTTAGTCCATTCAAACAACCAAAGAAGGGAGTCCAAGAGATAAGAGATTCCATATTCTTAAGTTTTATACTTTGCGATTCATAAACGATTCTTTCTGTCTCGATCTCTGATCCTCTCACCGGTTTTTGTCGTCCACATTCCGAAGTAGACAATCAAACGTTGTGGGTGGTAAGCGTAATGGAAGGGGAAATCAATCAAGCAATTCCGAGGATAAAAATGACTTATAAGTTAAGCGGATTCCATATTCTAGCAATCCTAATTCCAGAAAGGAGAACATTCGCCAATTCTCCATTGATTGCTTTGATCTCATTTGGTTGTAGATGTTACTAATTTTTATTAATATGTCTGTACTGTCAGTATGAAATGAAGACCACAGACCTTATATGAAAAATACCTCGTATTTTAACAATATCGCATGAACCACAGAAAACATTTACCATCGAATTTAGGAATAATTGATGATGCAACATATGCCTCAGTGATTTATAAATATCTGCGTTTGAGTAAATCATGTATCTCGATTGACTAATGGTGTTTTGAGATTGTAATGGATGGTCCTTCTCGCAACTATCTTATCTAACCAGTATTGGAAATTATCTCCCACTTTCATAATGGACAGGTTA